CACGCTGAGCACGAGGCTTACCGCCGCCACGCCCAATCTGTACCCACGGCTCGTAGTGCCATCCCACTTGGTCGGTGGCATTCTGGGCCATCTGCTAGGTTCCCGAGCCTGGAGCTGGCCAGGCGGGTTCGTCGTCTTGCTCCGAGGAACCTCACAGGAAGCTGCGTCGCCTGGGGCGGCTCACGCAGCGGTGCGATGAAAGCTGGGGTCTAGCCGCGGACTAGCGGTATCCACTTGCTTCCACAGGGAAACCAAAACCTTGAGCCAGAATGGCTACGGAATGGTACCTCCTGGGGCCTCCTAGGGACCGCCTGGAGCTTCCTCCTGGGCCTCCTGTGGCCTCCTGACCTCCACCAGAGGTTTCCTGAAGCATCTTGGGGCTCCCAGGGGGGACATCTAACCTGTGGCCGCTTGGGCCCCCCAAAATGGAGGGGGGGGCACAAGAGCAGGACAAATCAACGAATCTACACCGGATGTGTATTAACTTGACACGTTCTGATAGAGGGCCTCCTGGGGCCTCCTGGGAGCCTCCTGGGAATCTCCTGGGGGCCCCTGGGGCCTGTCTTGGGCGTCCTGCGGCCTCCTGGACCTCTCTGGGGCCTCCTGAGGCTCGCAGGGTCCCATGGAGGATATGTAACATGTGGTCTTCTGGGCCCCCAGGTTAGACCACCTTTTGCGCAGCATCTGAGAGCTCAGAGTTGCGAGAATGTCTTGTGCGAAACAGGCCGGACCACCTTGCGCACGGCATCTCAGAGCTCAGAGTTGCAAGGATGTCTCAGGCGAGACGGGCCGGACCACCTCGCGCAGGGCGTCTCAGAGCTCAGAAGTTCGAGGATGTCTCAGGCGAAACGGGCCGGACCACCTCTCGCGCGGTATCTCCGAAGTCAGAGTTTCGAGGATGTCTCAGGCGAAACGGGCCGGACCACCTCGCGCAAGGCATCGCAGAGCTCAGAGTTTCGAGGATGTCTCAGGCGAAACGGCCCGGACCACCTCTCGCACGGCACCTCGGGGCTCAGAGTTTTGAGGATGTCTCAGGCGAAACGGCCCGGACCACCTCTCGCGCGGCGTCCCGGAGCGCAACTTTTCGAGGATGTCTCAGGCGAAACGGCCAATCCCGGCCAACTCAGAAACGAGAGTTGAGAGGATGTCTCAAGCGGAACGGCCAAAACCATAAAATTTGTGTGAGGATGTCTCTGTTCCGCCTTCCCTCGGCCGGAGTTAGTTTCTATCACAGCAGCACCCCGTTCAGCAAGCTGTTTGTGGAAAAATCGTGACGTCGGATGTCTGGGGAGGGCGGAAGGCAGTGCGCGCATGACGGATGCTGAGGCGGCAGAAACGACGACGGCGGGGACGGGGAGGCGGAGGCAGAGGCGCAGCAGCGGGAGGCGGGAGGCGGGAGGAGGGAGGAGGGAAGAGGAACCAGGCGGGAAGTGGGAAGAGGGAGGCGGGAGAAGGAATGAGAGAGGTTGTGATTGGAGCTCCTGTGCTACGAAACGTCTCAGGCAGAATGGGCCAGACCATCTCGCGCGCAACATCTTCGAGCCTCGCATTGCGAGGATGGCTCAATCGAAACGGGCTGGACCACCTCGCGAGCGACATCTTGGAGCTCAGTATTGGAAGGATGTCTCAAACAAAACGGGCCAGACAATCTTTCGCACACGTTGTGACAAGTCCACATCGCACTCGCTTCCCGTTAGGTCCTCTCCTGCAACTCCCTTCCTTCTCCCTCCTCCTTCTCCACCTCCTCCTTCTCCTCCCCCTCCTCCTGCTTGCTCCCTCATGCACATCATCCGCCTCCTCCTTCTCCCTTCCATTTCCTTCTCCTTCTCCTCCTCCTCCTCCTCCTCTTCCTCCTCCTCGACCTCCTCTTCATCCCGAACAGCATCTCGGAGCCTAGAGTTGCGAGGATGTCTCCAGCGTAACGGGCTGGACCACCTCGCGCGCGGCATCTCGGACCACAGAGTTGCGACGATTTCTCGGGCAAACGTGCTGCGAGGAAGTCTCAGGCGAAACGGGCCGGACCACCTCGAGCGCGGCGTCTCAGAGCTCCGAGTTGCGGGGGCCTCCTGGTGCCTCCAGGGGCCTCCTGGGGACTCCTGGGGCTTCCTCCTGGGCCTCCTGTGGCCTCCTGGGGTTTCCTGAAGCCTCTTGGGGCTCCCAGGGTGGATATCAAACCTGTGGCCGTTTGGGCCTCTCCAAATGGAGGGGGGGGCACAAGAGCAGAAAACTCAACGACTCGACACCAGATGTGTATTAACTTGACACGTTCTGATAGGCGGTCTCCTGGGGCCTCCTGGGAGCCTCCTAGGAATCTCCTGGGGACCCCTGGGGCCTGTCCTGGGCGTCCTGCGGCCTCCTGGAGCTCTCTGGGGCCTCCCCCTCCTGCCTGCTCCCTCATGCACATCATCCGCCTCCTCCTTCTCCCTTCCATCTCCTCCTCCTCCTCCTCCTCCTCCTCCTCCTCCACCTCCTCTTCATCCCGAACGGCATCTCGGAGCCTAGAGTTGCGAGGATGTGTCCAGCGTAACGGGTTGGACCACCTCGCGCGCGGCATCTCGGATCCCAGAGTTGCGACGACGTCTCTGGCGAAACGTGCTGCGAGGAAGTCTCAGGCGAAACGGGCCGGACCAACTCGAGCGCGGCGTCTCAGAGCTCCGAGTTGCGGGGGCCTCCTGGGGCCTCCAGGGACCTCCTGGTGACCTCCTGGGTCTTCCTCCTGGGCCTCCTGTGGCCTCGTGAACTCCACCTGGGGTTTCCTGAAGCCTCTTGGGGCTCCCAGGGTGGATATCAAACCTGTGGCCGTTTGGGCCTCTCCAAATGGAGAGTGGGGGGGGGGGCACAAGAGCAGGAAAATCAACGAATCGACTCCGGATGTGTATTAACTTGACACGTTCTGATAGGCGGCCTCCCGGGGCCTCCTGGGAGCCTCCTGGGAATCTCCTGGAGACCCCTGGGGCCTGTCCTGGGCGTCCTGCGGCCTCCTGGGGCCTCCTGGGGCCTCCTGGGGACCTCCTGGAGCTTCCTCCTGGGCCTCCTGTGGCCTCCTGAACTCCACCTGAGGTTTCCTGAAGCCTCTTGGGGCTCCCAGGGGGGATATCAAACCTGTGGCCGCTTGGGCCCCTCCAAAATGGAGGGGGGGGCACAAGAGCAGGAAAAATCAACGAATCTACACCGGATGTGTATTAACTTGACACGTTCTGATAGAGGGCCTCCTGGGGCCTCCTGGGAGCCTCCTGGGAATCTCCTGGGGGCCCCTGGGGCCTGTCCTGGGCGTCCTGCGGCCTCCTGGACCTCTCTGGGGCCTCCTGAGGCTCGCAGGGTCCCATGGAGGATATGTAACATGTGGTCTTCTGGGCGCCCAGGCTGGACCACCTCTCGCGCAGCATCTGAGAGCTCAGAGTTGCGAGAATGTCTTATGCGAAACAGGCCGGACCACCTTGCGCACGGCATCTCAGAGCTCAGAGTTGCAAGGATGTCTCAGGCGAGACGGGCCGGACCACCTCGCGCAGGGCATCTCAGAGCTCAGAAGTTCGAGGATGTCTCAGGCGAAACGGGCCGGACCACCTCTCGCGCGGCATCTCCGAAGTCAGAGTTTCGAGGATGTCTCAGGCGAAACGGGCCGGACCACCTCGCGCAAGGCATCGCAGAGCTCAGAGTTTCGAGGATGTCTCAGGCGAAACGACCCGGACCACCTCTCGCACGGCACCTCGGGGCTCAGAGTTTCGAGGATGTCTCAGGCGAAACGGCCCAGACCACCTCTCGCGCGGCGTCCCGGAGCGCAACTGTTCGAGGATGTCTCAGGCGAAACGGCCAATCCCGGCCAACTCAGAAACGAGAGTTGAGAGGATGTCTCAAGCGGAACGGCCAAAACCATAAAATTTGGGTGAGGATGTCTCTGCTCCGCGTTCCCTCGGCCGGAGTTTTTGTTTCTATCACAGCAGCACCCCGTTCAGCGAGCTGTTTGGGGGAATATGGATTGCGAGGGCCATGGAGAGGTCGTAGATGGAGTTGGTCGGGCCATCTTTGACTTGTCAAGGTCTTTCCGCAGAGTACCCTTGAGAGGGATCAGTGGGGGGTCCAAGAGTCTAAAGAGGGACCTGACGCGGGAGGCTCCCCGAGGGCCCCCCAAGCTGCAGGAGGGGAAGGCGAGAAGGATGGCAAGGGGGATGTCAGAATCAGGCGATCGCAAACATGGATCAAGGGGGCCTGGATTAGGGATGGGTCCCGTTTCCTGTGGAAATCGCGGATGTCCGCCGCCAGACAAGGCGGCACCGGCCGCATTTTGGAGAGGGCACCTCACCCGATCCATGGATTTTGGCGACCGCGCGCCAAATCCGTGGATCGCTTATCCATGCTTGCGCGCCCCCGACAGAAGGGAAGGGGGGAGAGAGAGGGGAGAGGTGGGAAGGTCAAGCTGGGTGCGCTCGCGTTCAGCAGACATCCGACCCCCGCCGCGCGCGGCTGCATGTGCGCCAGGTGAGGTACCACGCCGCCGCCCAGTCTGAGCATGATGCAGCACAGGAAATGTGTGCAAACGATGCCTCGTCATTCGCCGCTCCATCGTCCTGGCGGCATCCCAGTGTTTCAGGGACACGGGGGGGAGTGGAGGTGGAGGGAAGTGAATCGCGAACCAGCTACAATTGGTTGAAACCCCCTCGGGGGGGACCCATCGGTTTCGATCTCTCGCTTGAGCTCTCGAGATACAGTTCATACGATGTACCGTGGATACGATGTACAGCTCCCCCAGTCGGGGCTGGCCGGCAAGTAAGGTGTCTCTTTTGGTCCAGAGGGGTTCTTGCAGACCACCGACGGCCGCCACGAAGGGTTGCAGGCACGGTATGGCGAGACTGGCTGCGCATCACGCTTAATTATTTGAGGTCGTTCTCGGCTTTTTTCGTGGCTCGATTCGGAATATTCTGTTTGGGGCATGTGCCGGTCCTCTTCGGGCTGCGCTGGGGCATTCTTGAGTCGAATTTGATGGAGGAGCAGAGGAGGGGCAGGAGCTGCTCCTGCAGAGCCGCGCCATCGAGATCAGCATTGAGGTCGCGGGCTTGGCCTGCGGCGGGCATACAAGCAGTGGAAAAGCTCCCCTCTGGAGGGATCAGCGCGTCCTCATCTCGAGCCATCCGCTCCTCCCGAGGGCCCCCCATCGCGTCGTGAAGATCATCGTGGCGAAAGGCGTCTGCCCGTGTTCGGCCGTCCGGGAGTCGTCCCTGCGATCGTGACCGTTCCCACGCCGTTCTCCACCGCCCGCCGCAGGCTGGCGCTCTGGTGGACGCGGCGGCGGCCCCAGCGCGGGCGCTCGAGGCTGAGCGTTGCCGGTGGCCGGGGATCGACCGATGTCGAGCGATCCGCCCCGTCGGACAGCCGCGATCGCTCATCGGGGCGGAACGGTCCGCGCGGGGTCAGGGGCCAGGTGCAAACGTCATGGCGACGTGAACTCTTCCTAGGTCGGCCAGTCGGCCTTTGCGGGCGATGGGTGAAGGGGGAACCCAGAAGAGGAAGACTTGGAGGTATCAGCCACGCCGGCAGCAAGCAGCCGAGGCCTTACGACAGCCATCACGGGGCCTGAAGAGATGATACCTTCTGTTTGACTTGTGTTTGTCTGAGCCAGTGTGACAAAAAAACATAGTGAAGCTACACGGTTTGAGAATAACTCTGTTCTGGAAACTTGCGCTAGTGCAGAATACGTCACAATCATGCTGTACTGCATCTTGCGGTGCCCTATTTCCAAGATGTGTTGATCATCCACCTTGGGCGCGCATGCCAGCACATCTAACACATGTACACAGACATAAACCAAGCATAAGGGAATGAATGTAGTGTCGCACGTGTATGAAGACACCGAGACAGACAGATATAGAGAGAGGGAGAGACATACTCTCTTAAGTTATAATAGGACCTCACGTACGCAAATATATACCTTTCTGTCGAGAGAACTACCTCCTATATTTTCCTCTTGGCTCATCCCACCTGCACAGATCTTCTCATTCACGAATGCGCTGGGCGGGGCATGAGGGAGATAATGGTTATTTCCATCTCTCGCTATCTCGCCCTCTCTCTCTCTCTCTCCCTACCGCTCTCTTTGTTTCGTTTGTTCGCTCATTCATTCATTCATTCATTCATTCATTCTCTCTCTCTCTCTCTCTTTCTCTCCCCCCCCCGTCTACATATAGATGGGCAGTTCGCTCTTGTATGCTTATATCTGTACACAATTTCATATGTTTTTCTCTCTCTCTCTCTCTCCCCCTCTCTCTCTCGCCCGCCCTCCCTCCCTCCCTCTCTCTCTCCCTCACTACCTTCCTTTTGTATAGCTCTATTGTTGTGTAAGTGTGTGTGTGTGTGTGTCTGTGTGCGTGTTCGTTGCATTATGTGTTTGAGTTTGTCGTTGTCATCTCTCTCTCTCTCTATCCCCCCTCTGCCTCAGTTGACTGGGCTGGAGAAAGGTGCGGCTGAGCAGCAGCAGGTGCAGTTTCGGTCGCTTCTCACCCTTTTCCAGGGGCAGGAGGAGGTGGAAGATGGTGAGGACGGGGATGGTGCGGATGAGGCGACGAACGTAGTCTGATAGAAAGGTTGCACTAGGTTTTTCGTGGATTCACGGCTTTCTTTCTGTTTCTTTCTATTTCTCTCTCTCGCCCGCAGAACGAGGAGGGGGGGGATAAGGTTGGGAGAGCAGGGGACGAAGGGACGAGGAGAGGCAAAGGGACAGGGCGGGTATGCATAGGTAGGGGAGGGAGGCCGACGGGGAAGGGAGGCACAGGGAAGGGGAGGGAGGGGGGGGTAGCACAGGAGGAGGATGGAGCCGCGGGGGTGGAGTTCTGGCGGGGTCTCTGAGGTCCTCGCAGTCGACGCGGCGCTCCGGGAGCAGTACGCGGCTCCTCCGGCACCAGAGGATAAGGCGTCCTTTTGCTGTATCTTGCCTGCCTCCCCTCCTCTCCTCCCTGCTCCCCCCACGTGTCCTCGCCCCTCCTCCAGTCAAGAGTTCATTTCTCCTTTGACCTTCGCCTCATCTTCCACAGCGCCTTGCCTGCACTAGAGTGGCTTCTTGATGCTTGAACGCCGGGCGGGTCGGCCGCCAGACATGCGGCCCCTGTCAATAGGCAACAGCCTGCCCGAGAATGGCCCAGCCGCCTTGTGGCCTGATAGGGGTCGTGGCGAGCCCAGGCGTGTACGGGCGCCCAATGACTTTGCTTCTGAGGCGCCCACAGATCAAGCGGAGTAGGCACCTTGAAGCGCGGTGAGGGGCAGCGAGCGCGTTCTGTGTTTCTGGAGCGACGGAGGAGGGGCAATGCTCGCAGGGTAGGAGCAAGCCTGAGCAGCCCAAGCGACGGCAAGAGCAGCGCTAAGACCAGAGCTTCTCGCGAATTGGTGTCGTAGAGGTCGCTATTGATCGATCAAGCGCGCCGGTCGAGCGCACAGGGATCTGGCCCTGGAAACAACGTCGCCCCCCTCCCCCCCCAGCGACCTCCAATCGACACCGCCCCTCATGGACAGAGGCCTCCAGCATAGGTAACGGTAAAGACGTGACCTGCTGCGACTAGGTTGGTCCACATGGTGCATACGAAGTCCAGTTCCACCCTCCTTTTGTCTAACCGTGCCTCGAGGCTTTCCAACATGACGGTGAGGCCACGGTTCCATGTCTGATGTTGGGCCAGCCTGTTGTCACGGCCTTGCCCCGTTGAAGCGCGCTGGCGGCATGGTTTTCTGAGGTGGGCGACAGGTGGGAAACGATTTAAAGGGGTCGAATGATTTAACGTCGATGAGCCGCGTTCCTCGTTCATCGTTGCACTCGCTCTCCTCCTTCGTCAACCTTGTTCTCCTTGGCCCCATCTCTCCACGTCCTCCAGGCCCCACACCCCTTGTTTACAACCGCAAGAGGAGCCCCGTGGCAAGAGGAAGGAAACGACACGACACGACGACGGGGACGACAGACGACACGACAACGACGCAGGCGCGGGGGGGGAGGGGGACGGGGAAGAGGCGGGCAGGGAGGCGCGCCGGCCCGCGCCCGGCCTGGCGGGCCTCAGCCCCAGCGGGCGCGCGCTGCTGGGCGCTGGCCCTCTTGGGCCATCCTGGGGCCCTCTCGGAGGCCTCGTCGGCCGTCGTGGAGCAGTCTTCGTAGCGTCTTTCGGGTTGTCGAAAAGGGGGTCCAGCGACAAGGGGGTGGTGCAATAGATTTGGTGCAATAGGTTTCCGGGGTTGCAATACATTTGAGGCGTGCAATACATTCCGGAGCGCACATGTATTGCTGGATTTTCGCGTGCAGTACATTATTTGCAAAACAATGCAAAACAATTCTCCGGCGCAATACGTTTACAATCAAATTGCCTCAAATCAATTGCACCACCCCCTTCCAGCTGGACCCCATTTTAGGTCACCCAACGTCTTGGGTCGACTTGGGACGTCGGACACTCGAAAAGGCTAGAATCCGACACAGCTTGAGAAACCGCCAGAAATCCATGCATTTTGCTTCTGCAGGCCCTCTTGGGAAGGCTCCTGGGGCTTCCTCGGGATGCCTCGAAGGCCTCGCGGAAGAGGGGGCCGATGCGGGCAGCTGGGTGCTTCCCGGGAGGGTTGGGGTTCGCCCTACCAGACAGCTCTCGGCATACTAGTGACCAGCACGCCTGAACGTGCCAGGGGGCACGCAGGCGGGCTTTCGTGGCGCAGCCTCCCGAAGCGAGCCCGCTGGCTCCCGCGGCACATCGTGTGGCCCCCGTTGTCGGCAGGAAGCTCACTCCAGGCGTGCCCGATCGCTTCTAGCGCAAGCTCGGAGGATGCTCCTGTTGGTGGCCACCTTCCAGCCTGGCAGCCACGACGCCGCGCGACTTCCCCTCGTCGTCGTCCTCCCCCTCGTCGTCTTCCTGGCCTCCACCCTGGCCCCAGCGATTCCTTCGGGTCGCGGGGTGAGTTTCATGGCGGAGCGGCGGGGCGGCGAGGATTCGCCCGTGGCGACCCTCTACGAGTTGCTGTCCAAGACGCTGTCGTGCCCCCAGGCCCACTGGGCGGAGGTGCTCCGGCTTGCGATGGGCCGCCGCCTCAGCGCCTTGCGGGAGCCTTGTCCTGCAGTGGCCCCAGGCCCAGCGTTCCATTCCGAGCCGTTTCCTCCCAGTGGCGGGGCGCGGCCGACAACGGCCAAACATGTCGGGACCGCCTTCTATCAGGCCCCCTTTCCCTCATGCTGACTCCGCAGCGCACACGGCGGACGGGTCCTTCGTGTGAGCTCCGGCCATCTGCGGATCCGCCGCGCCGCGGGCGGTCTGTGGCTGGCAGCCCTGGAGGGGTCGTGCCGAGCCCGAGGTCTCGTGCGCGTGGCTCGGCTTGCCCCCGCATTGTGGCGAGATTGCGAAGGCACGCGCGAACATGCGAGAACGGCGGTGCCGCACGAATGTCGCAAGTTGGGGCTGCACAGGTGGTGGCGCGGAAGCCCAGTTTGTAGAGCTCGTTTGCGACTTCCAGCACGGGTTCTGTTGTCTGGGCCTTGTCTGGTCCTGGATGCGTGCGCATGACCGTATGACCTCTTCGTCAAGCACGTGTGCATATCGGTGCCCATCGGGCGCTCGCGTGCCCCACAGGCACGCACCCGCTGGGCATGCGTCCTGTGGGCACGCGCCGAAGGGCCACCGTTGGCGGTCGCAGACAAGGGCCAGCTGCGTCGTCCTTCCCCAGCCCCGCTGCTGTCCCTCCTCCTGCCATTTGCTGCCTTCGCTGACACTGCCTCCCCCCGCCCCCCCCCCAAGCGTGGGCTCAAGGCAGATATCCAGCTTGCCCATGATTCTCCAAGCCGGGGAATTTGCCTTAGCAGCCAAGAGCGTCGTGCTCTGCTCTACCCGCCGTGCTGCCAGACAGGCCCCTGCTCAGCTCAAGCATCTCGGCGTACAAGTGCCACCCGCCCTTCAGGCTCCTTCCTCCCCCGCCGCCCCCTGGAGCTCAACGTGTGGTTTCACACGCTGCAGAGCTAGGCGGGGGGGGGGAAGGTTTGTTTTTAGCGCCTCCAACTCAATCATTAGAGAACGTTGGCCAGTCAGACGAGTGCTTGGGCCTCTCCTGGGACACGAATCCTCTCCAGGAGGCTCCAGGAAGGCCCAGGAGGCCCCAGGAGGCTCCAGAAGGCCCCAGGAGACTTCAGGAAGCCACATGAAGCCCCAAGAGGTACCAGGAGGCTCCAAGAGGCCCCAGGAAGCCCCAGAACACGCCAGGAAGGAGCCAGGAGGTCTCAGGAGGCTGAGTCCCCAGGAAGCGTCAGGAAGGCCCAAGGAAGCCCCAAGAGGCCTGAGGAAGCCCCAGGAGGCTCAAGCAGGAGCAGTCCCCAAGAGGCCCCAGGAGTCCCCAAGGGGCCCCAGGAGGCTCCAGGAAGCCGCAGGGGGCCCGAAGAGTTCCAAGAGGTTCAAGGAAGCCCCAGGAAGCCCCACGAGGCCCCAGGAAGCCTTCGAAGTCCCAGGAGACTTGAGGAAGCCCCAGGAAGCCCCAATAGACCCCAAGAGGATTCAGTCACGCTCAGTCGTGCTCAGGCCACTGACGTGTAGACTCTCTCACCCCAAGCTTAGCCATGCGCAGGATCACGCGCATAGACTCACTCGTACTATGGAGGCTCATACACACTCAAAAGCATTTACAATTAGACTTTCTCCCAGGCTGTCAATATCCAAGCTCGTTTCTATTCGAAGTGTGTTGCGTCTAGGCATTCACTGTGGACATGTAGATGCAGAGAGATGCACACATGGGGAGCTCCACGCAGTGAATAATTCTTCTTCTAATGGGGTTAATCTTGGCTGTTTTGGGGCGCCTGTTTCGAGCGGGTGGGGTCTCCCCAACAATGGACGCACTGTTCCAAACAGCCGCGCTGAGAAGAGGTCCAGAGCCAGACCCCTCCCCTGGTGTACCCCTGGCACGAGGGCCCCCAAGGATTTTCAGGGAGGCCCCCACGGCCTCTCCAGAGCACCCCATCACGAGGCCCAGAGGGCCCCCAGGGGCCCCCAAAGTCGAGCGACACGCTGGGGGGGGGCACCTTGGGCCCAGTGCCGAAACGCCGGATAAAAACAAATATCCCGGCAAAGCAACCTAACAGCGATTGGTAGAAGCATATCTGGAAGCATTCCCCTTAAGAATCAGATGAGAATCCAGTTGTAGAATTCTGCAGTTCTCGCAGTCGTAGTCGCATTCGCGATGACATTCGCAGTGGCAACGGCAGTCGCAGTCACAGCCTCAGCCTCAGCCTCAGCCTGCCTCAGCCTCAGCCTCAGCCAGCCTCAGCCTCAGCCTGCCTCAGCCTCAGCCTCAGCCGGCTTCAGCCTCAGCATCAGTCTGCCTTCAGCCTCGGCTTCAGCCTCAGCGTGCCTCAGCCTCAGCCTGCATCAGCCTCAGCCTCAGCCTCAGCCTGCCTCAGCATCAGCCTGCCTCAGCCTCAGCCTCAGCCTGCCTCAGCCTCAGCCTCAGCCTGCTTCAGCCTCAGCCTCAGTCTGCCTTCAGCCTCGGCCTCAGCCTCAGCCTGCCTCAGCCTCAGCCTGCATCAGCCTCAGCCTCAGCCTCAGCCTGCCTCAGCATCAGCCTGCCTCAGCCTCAGCCTCAGCCTGCCTCAGCCTCAGCCTCAGCCTGCTTCAGCCTCAGCCTCAGTCTGCCTTCAGCCTCGGCCTCAGCCTCAGCCTGCCTCAGCCTCAGCCTGCATCAGCCTCAGCCTCAGCCTCAGCCTGCCTCAGCATCAGCCTGCCTCAGCCTCAGCCTCAGCCTGCCTCAGCCTCAGCCTCAGCCTGCTTCAGCCTCAGCCTCAGTCTGCCTTCAGCCTCGGCCTCAGCCTCAGCCTGCCTCAGCCTCAGCCTCAGCCTCAGCCTCAGCCTCAGCCTCAGCCTCAGCCTCAGCCTCAGCCTCAGCATCAGCCTGCCTCAGCCTCAGCCTCAGCCTGCCTCAGCCTCAGCCTCAGCCTGCTTCAGCCTCAGCCTCAGTCTGCCTTCAGCCTCGGTCTCAGCCTCAGCCTCAGCCTCAGCCTCAGCCTGCAGCCTCAGCCTCAGCCTCAGCCTCAGCCTGCCTCAGCATCAGCCTGCCTCAGCCTCAGCCTCAGCCTGCCTCAGCCTCAGCCTCAGCCTGCTTCAGCCTCAGCCTCAGTCTGCCTTCAGCCTCGGCCTCAGCCTCAGCCTGCCTCAGCCTCAGCCTGCATCAGCCTCAGCCTCAGCCTCAGCCTGCCTCAGCATCAGCCTGCCTCAGCCTCAGCCTCAGCCTGCCTCAGCCTCAGCCTCAGCCTGCTTCAGCCTCAGCCTCAGTCTGCCTTCAGCCTCGGCCTCAGCCTCAGCCTGCCTCAGCCTCAGCCTGCATCAGCCTCAACCTCAGCCTCAGCCTCAGCCTCAGCCTCAGCCTCAGCCTCAGCCTCAGCCTCAGCCTCAGCCTCAGCCTCAGCCTCAGCCTGCCTCAGCCTCAGCCTCAGCCTGCTTCAGCCTCAGCCTCAGTCTGCCTTCAGCCTCAGCCTCAGCCTGCCTCAGCCTCAGCCTGCCTCAGCATCAGCCTGCCTCAGCCTCAGCCTCAGCCTGCCTCAGCCTCAGCCTCAGCCTGCTTCAGCCTCAGCCTCAGTCTGCCTTCAGCCTCGGCCTCAGCCTCAGCCTGCCTCAGCCTCAGCCTGCCTCAGCCTCAGCCTCAGCCTGCCTCAGCATTCAAAATGTGGCCCGGGAATGGAGTTCTGGGAACTCGAAGAACACGAAGTGGCCTACAGCTGGCTCCGGGCATTCAAAATCATGCCCAGGAATGGAGTTCTGGGAACTCGAAGACCACGAAGTGGCCTGCAGTTGGCTCTGGGCATTCAAAATCATGCCCAGGAATGGAGTTCTGGGAACTCGAAGAACACGAAGTGGCCTACAGTTGGCTCCGGGCATTCAAAATCATGCCCAGGAATGGAGTTCTGGGACTTCGAAGACCACGAAGTGCGTTACTGCTGGCTAAAAAAAGAGTCCCCGGCATCCTCCCCCGGATCGCGCCCAGACCCCCTTGGGGCGTCCAGATGTTTTTTTTTGACCCTACTAGAAACATATCAGTCTTCGCTGTTAGGTAACAACCGCTGACGAGGAGGCTGCCCAGTTTTGCACATCCCCGGAGGCCAGGTAGGGGGCGTCCCCGGAGGCCAGGTAGGCCAGGTAGGAGGCCCCGCCCCCCCTGCCCTCACGGAGGGGCCCCGCCGCCCGCTCAGAAGCCCAACCCCCTCCCCTCGCGCCCCCCCCCTGGTGTGAAGCTGGGTCTGTCCCCCTACAAGGGAGAATATTCAACGATAGCCACAATAATAGTATGGAGACGATGTTCGGCTATTTTTGAATAGTTATGGACACGATTTTCGACTTATTTTGAGAAGTTGTTTGGTTTTTTTGTGTACGTTTCATGCTTCGTTCCGCATCCGCCTGTAGGGGGACATACCCGACCTAACCCTGGTGGGCAGCGCTAGCTCAGAGAGGGAAACGTCGACCCTGAGTTGGCGACGCGTCGCCGACAGATCAGCGATGGGCCCCCAGATGGCGAGACAGCATGCGCCTGGGAGGGGTGGGCACTCGGGCCCGCATCAGCGATAGATGGGCGATCGGGGGGTACATGATCCTCGACCCTCGGACGTTTCCACACGTCTGACCCCCCGGATTGCGCAATGTGCGCGGCCAGTGGGCATCTCGACGACCTCTTCCCAGGGAGGAGTTTTGGTTTTCGCATCACGTCGCCAGCTGCACGAGGGTCGCCTGAGCTACAATCAAGGCTCAAGTCGGGCCTGTACAGGAAGGCCCCCACGGCCTCTCCAGAGCACCCCATCACGAGGCCCAGAGGGCCCCCAGGGGCCCCCAAAGTCGAGCGACACGCTGGGGGGGGGCACCTTGGGCCCAGTGCCGAAACGCCGGATAAAAACAAATATCCCAGCAAAGCAACCTAACAGCGATGTGTAGGAGCATATCTGGAAGCATTCCCCTTAAGAATCAGATGAGAATCCAGTTGTAGAATTCTGCAGTTCTCGCAGTCGTAGTCGCATTCGCGATGACAGTCGCAGTGGCAACGGCAGTCGCAGTCACAGCCTC